AGTTACCAAGGCACAATATGATAAACATGAAGAGTCCCTGAGACTCTGGTTGGGTTCGGTATCTCCTTTCTCTAGTTAAGTAGTTCAGAAGAATTAGGAAAATACAATACAGACTATTTTATAGGAAATATACCTATATACCAGTTGGCTAGAGAGTATATAGCTTTTTATCACTTTTTTTTAAAAAAAGACCTTTTTCAATGCAAAGATTGGTCCATTTTTAATTATCAGCAAGCCAAACTAATTACTTCACTAAGCTTAAACTGTTTTCAATTACACCTTTGCAATATTGCTACAACTGGAGTAACTACATTCTAAAAAGCTTGAACACTAAATGAATGATGCAATCTTAGAGCGTTTTGTTATTTTGAAAACTGCAAGTACAGCATTTAAATCACAGTATCAATACTGAAATTTAAAGCTAAACTTTCCTTTAAGTTTATTGGCAACTCCACATAGAAAAACAACACAAAATTGAGTAAACAATTCTGTTTTAATTATCCTACCCAGGGTCATATGATTCAGAATCCTCCATTAAAAATACTGAAATGTTTAATGTATTATCCAGTCCAAGAAACCAAGAGTTTTAACTGACCCTTTCTTGATACAGAAGCTTTCTGGTTTATTTAATAGTTCCTGCTTGCAAGTGGAGACGAGCTGGAACCACAGGGGTGTGTCCACCCACACGCTTGCTCAAATGCGACAAGTGGCTGTCACATCTGAGCCGCCAAACATATACACCTATGTTGCACACCTGGCACCTTTCCTGAACTGCAGTTTCTTAGGATTTCCCTGGTTTCCTGAAGTACGTGAATGCCGATTCATGAACTGTTCTAAGAAAGTGGAGATTGTACCTAAAAATATAGAGAAGTAGGATGGACAGCTGGTGCTAGAACATATGCTGGAGACTAAAAACTTTTCATGTGCAGCAATTGCTAAAAACCTCAAATGGGAGACAGCAGTCTCTGTGTATAAAAAGTCCATGCTGCAGAAAATTGGATTCTGCCCAGCCTTTTTGCATATTCAAGCCACTGTGAGTACGCTGCTGGAATTAGCTGGAATTAGCTGCTACAAAACAGAGAAAGCTGGTGTCATTGCACATAACCTGATTAACAGAACCAGCTTTCCCTCTTCTTTTGGAGAACAATACACTTTTTAGTTATCAGCATCATATACTTTCTATGTCTCAAAATGACCAAAAGAGCCTACTGTAGCAGTCTTTGCAAACTATTTTTAAAAACGATAATCTACTTTAAAAGCTTCATCTTTTCCTTTCCAAAGAATCCAAAGAAGCTGCAAGTGATACAAAGCAAACCCCACAAAACAGGAATTTTTGCAGTTTTGGTTATATCAGCTGATCTCTGGAGGGGTACAGTTAGGTACCCAGTAATTTGCCAAACCATTTTTAAGCAGTAAAAGCCGAATTTTATATGTCTTTTTTAGTTCCCTGCTATGTCCATATTTTAACATCTAGAACAATTTGTCAAAATGGGTCCAAGTAATTTATTCAAAAGCTGAACTTCTACACTTCTGGGAGAGATTAACAAAACCCCTCTCAACAATTAACTGCTTGTATAAAGGGGACATGAAGGAACTTTAACCTAAAATTGTATCTAATCTCAACC